AGATCATGCAAGTTCAGCGGGTTGGGACGTGGTAAGCCTTCCACGATGTTAGCTCCTGCTATTGATTCGGCTCCCGGGGCTCTGTAATGCCCCGTCCCCAGTTTATTTCAGTCCGGTCTGGTGCCAGGTGCAGGTTTCTGAAACATGCCTTGGTTCTCTCCACCTTCATCTGGAGAGCCTCCCCCAGTCCCTCATTACCGACCAATCTGATATTTTGTCATCAAGGCTCTTCATGTGGCCAGTGTGACCCAGCTCCCTGACTGACCCAGCTGAGCTCATCCCCCATGATCCTCTGCCTGTAGCCTTCTTTCCAGCTGAAACTTTCTGCCTTTCTTTTCCCAGACAGCCTCCTGCTTTCCTGCCTCTTAATCTGTTACCTTTGTTTGCCCAGACTCATGTCAACAATCACCTCATCTACAAGCATTTCCTATTCTGTCCTTCGAGCTCTATTACACTCTATAATATTTCTTTTATGGGACTTGGCATTCTGTACTTTTTTTTTTTCATTTTAAATTGTCCTTTTGTGCCTTTAAGAGCCAGCCCTATACTCAGGACGGCCCTCCTACACCATGAGGGAGATTGGAACAGAGCACATTGGAGCAGAGAGCGTGCAGGCCAGGACAAGTGGCACTCTCTGTTTTGCACGGCAGTGTCTTGAGTGTGGAAACTGGGTCTTCACTTTAACCCCCAGGTGGCACCCAGGACGGGGTGAGGAACGCAGGCGGGTTCAGCCAGCGTCTGCTGAGCAGTTCTCATCCATCCCTCCATGTTGGCTTGATACCATGAACTTGAATATGTCGTGGGTCCCTTCATGGCCGGAGTCCAACTAGAAAGTAGGTCAGATCCAAATCCTGATGGGCCATCTGACCACTTAATGCCCATTTGAGTGGATGGGGGCAGCAGATTTTCAGGTTGGCATTATAATGAATCAAGTGGTGAAACAGGATTGCCCAAAGTTACACAGCAAGTTAGTGCCCTTGCCCAGAATAGAACAGGTTACTGTTCTTAAGCACTGAGTTAACCCTACTTCCCACCCACTACAGAACGACGCGCTATAAAAACAAGCTTCTCCCATACATTTGTGCCTTTCGATCTGAATAGTTTATTCTCAAAATCTAGCTAAGGATCCATGTTACTATTCAAATACACTGGTGGGCAGCTGACGCTGGGGAGGCTCAGGTACACACCGGGGTTGTGTTGGGTTCAGTTGCAGGTGGTGGAGGGCAGAGTATAAGCAGTGGCATAGAGGCTTGACCTATGGTCACAGGGGTGTGACCTTTTGAGATTGGGTATGACTCTATCAATAAGGGCTCTCCAAGGAACAGAAACAGTAAAATACGAATAATATATATTATACCAATATAACTTGAAGCTATGATACACACACACACACACACACACACACACACACACAATTGATTTCAAGGCAGTGGCTGTCACGGTTGTAGAGGCTGGCAAGTCCAAACTCTAGGGTAGTTGGAATTCAGCAGGCTTGAGGCAGGATTTCCTCTTCCTCAGGGAAACCTTCCTCAGTTTTGCTCCAAAGGCCTGTCAACTGCTTGGGTGAGGCTCACTCAGATTATCGAAGATGATCTCTTTAAAGCAGTGGTTCTCAACCTTCCTAATGCTGTGACCCTTTAATACAGTTCCTCATGTTGTGGTGACCCCCAATTTCATTGTTACAAATTGAACATAATTAAAGCATAGTGATTAATCACAAAAACAATATGTAATTATATATGTGTTTTCCAATTGTCCTTTTGTGCCTTCTAAGAGCCAGCCCAAAGGGGTCGCGACCCACAGGTTGAGAACCGCTGCTTTAAAGTCACCTGGTTGATTGTAGCTATCAGCCACATCTACCAAATACCTTCAACACCTCCGTTGGGGTTTGATTAAGCAACTGTGTACTACAATACAGCCTAGCCACATGCCATGTTAACACGCACAACTGGTGGTCACACCCTCCCCGCTCCATTCTACCCGGGCAGCCTTTGTGAGAGTGACCTCTTTCTGGAAGAGCTCTGGTGGGAATTAAACAGCACGGTGCGTTCATATAGTTCGTGGCACGTTATAGTTCAACAGACGCTTTGCTCTTATTGCCCCAGAGCTGGGGGTTGAATCTCCAGGAAACTCCTGTCCTGCTGGGTCATTCTGGAACTTGTTTTGGTTCCAGACAGGAACCCTTCTGCCCCCAGGGTGGGAAATCATTCGGGAAACGATTGACCAGAATGGGGATGTTCCAAGTGGAGATGGTCAGACTGAAGAGGGAACAAGATCGCCAGCTCAAATATTTGAAGAGCTGTGATGGGAAGGAGGCCCCAGGCTCTGGAGGAGGCAGAGCCCTTCTATAAATATTTCAGTATACATTCCTGAAATATAAGGACTCTTGTAAGTATAACCACAATGCCATTAGTACACCTAAGAAAACCAATAATTCTTGGTATCATTAAATATGCAATCCGTATTCAGATTCCCCAGTTATGTCATGAGCAGTTTTCCACAGGTGGTTTGTTGGACTCACGATCCAAACAGGATTCATACCTTGCGTTGTGGCCAGCTGTTCTGCATGGTAACGTGATCAGACAGCAGCTTCATTTATTCGCGTGGAGCCAGCTCTTCCCACCACTGCCGGTCTCCTGTGTGTGACACGGTGTGAAGCAGGTGGGAGCCGTGTGAGTAGTGGTGGTGGTTCCGGCGGGAAGCAGCATTCGCCCTAGATGGCTCCCTGAAGGGACTTCATGAATGACTTCTTGCAGGAGCAGGCAGGGGTGGGGGTACCCAGAGACTACCAGCAGGCAGGGGTGGAAAGAGAGTGAGGGGAGCTCAGTGAGGTGAGGAGGAGATTGGAAAAGAAATGCCTTGGCCTCCCCTTTGCTTGCCCTCCAGTCTCCTGTCCCTCTCCCACTGGTGAACCCCGCCCAAAGCCAGCCAGCACAGGAGCCCCCAGTTTTCAGGGGACAGCTTCTGGGGGACACCCATGGTTCTAGAGGCGCAAGCAAATAGCAAGATAGCGCCTGAGAAATGGCTCTGAAGCAGAAATGCCTGCAACCAAATCCTGATTCTGTTGCGTGCCAGCTGTGTGACTTCAAGGCAAGTTGCTGGAGCTCTCTGTGCCTCAGTTTCCTCCTGTAAGAAGAATGCTGAGCAACTTAAGATCATGTATGTCAGTGGTTCCCAAACTTATTTGGCCTACCACCCCCTTTCCAGAAAAAAATATTACTCAGCCCCTGGAAATTAATTTTTTTTTAATTTTAATAGCAGTTACTCATCGCCCCCAAATGCACCTGTGGCCATCACCGCCCCCCTGGATCGCTGCAGCGCCTACCAGGGGGCGGTAGCGCCCACTTTGGGAATCACTGATGTATGTGGTGCCTGGCCCTGAGTGAGCGCTCCATAAATCTGAGCTATAATTATTATAAACTGCCATTAAAAACCACCCAGGCCAAACAGGACACCTCTCTCTTTCTCTGGCTCCTCGGGTCTCTGTAGACGCGATGACTCCAGCTTGCCTCCAGCCTAGAGACCAGCCTCAGAATTCTCTGGCCTTCACCCCTCTCCCTCGGATGTCATCTTTCTCATAGGCACCACACCGCTCTTTGTCGTTGAAGGTTCCTCCGACCTAAATGCCAAAGCAGGTCTCAGTCCTCCCTCCCCCAGATGAGGAAATGAAAGGGCCAGCGAAGCCAGCAGGGACTGTGCACAAGGAGTGTTTTCAGTGTCAACCTCGCCATCACAGTATTCAGGGCCCAGTACAGACTTAGAAATCAGGTTGCCGGTTAGCAGAACTTCGGAGAGGTAGCAGGAAGAGAAAAGCCTGGCTCCTTTCTTCCCCTTCCCACTGCCTTCATCAACTCGGCAAGCCTTCCCATGGGCTCACATCAGTGGCAGAGGTGATCTAACAGCTGGGGGACACGCGTCATACCTTCACAGCCCAGTAGGAAAGAAACGATCCAGATAGTTGTAATTTTGGATAGAATAGGATAAGTGTCATGAGAGGAAACCCGGGGCCATGGGATTTTAGACACAGGAGACCCCGGTTCTAGCCGAGGGGCCCACGCTGAGGCTGTGGATCCGTGTGGAGGGTGAGATGGGCGTCTTCCCGGCAGAGCGCCATCGGGGGCGGCCTTTCCAGCAGGGGCCAGTTCAGAACAAGTCACTGGATTTCTCGTTGTGATTAGACCACCAGCTCAGGTTTACGATGGCTTCCTATGGCAAGCGTGGAAACTTTCTTTTTTATTTTTATTTTTATTGAGTCACAGCCTCACAAGAGTATCACCTACGTACAAATAAAAAGTAGGTTAATGATGGGTTTCATGTACCCAGTCTTTAAATTAAGAGCATGGACCATAACTCTGCAGTGTACTCGTAAAACACATACGCTGTATCCCAGCCCCATGTCACTGAGTTGAGAAAAACAGGAAAAGAGAACAGTAATTACTGGCCACCAGTGGCTGGCATCGCTTTCTCTTGACATTCTGGTTGAGTTGCCAGCAGTTAGGCATTAATGGCAACTCTTCAGAATCAAAAAGCAGTTGAAAGGAGCAGTAATGTCTGTATAGCATCTTAAAATGGAAAACGTGCTTTTTCTCAACTAATTTCTTAAAATGTGAATTAGAAAATATCTGTTCACAGACAAGGAAACTGGGGGTCAAAGTGGCCCGCAGTCACTCAGCTGGTAAGAGTAGGATGAGCCTTTTTAACAGCAGTTTTGGGGCCTTCGCCCTCCTAGCCACAGGGCTTTGGTGGGGTTTGCAGACTCTGCCAATTATGTTACAGGCGTGATAGTCCTTTTTCACTTTCTAAATGGATATAATGTGGATCCTCCACCCCTCCTGCCTTGAGGTTCTGGCCTCTCCACTCTCCCCGCTGTTGTAAATTGGAAAGGGGATGCTGAGACTGAGTTGAGGGGGCAGAATGTTCATAAGGAAGTGCCTAGGCAGCTACCGCTGTGGAGGGGAGGAACGAAAGTGGGATTGACCCGAAGCAGAAGCCAAGCTGTGATGCAGGTAATGAAACCAGGAGCTTGAGGGCTAAAGTGGCCCACATCACGATTGTCCCACACTGAGCCAGGTGGCCAGGCCTCTATACCCTCCCTGTCCAGTTGAGGGAGGGATCTGAGTGCCCGGGAAGGGTGTGACCTTAGGTGAAGTCGCTCTCAGCAGTTGAGGCCTCTGTGAAGGCACAGCTGGAAGTGGTCCCCCCACAGGTCCCCAGCAGCTGCCACTGCCCCTCCTTGTGCATCGCACTCACCTGGGGGAAGTCCTCCCCTTGCTCACTGCTTGTAGCACATGTTTCTGCTAGCTTTGTGATAGGCTTGCAGTAACTGATAGTTGAATGACTAAGTGAAGGACTGGCTAACAAGATATTTATTGACTACGTAACCCTGTGCAAGTGAACGTTTCTCTCCTCCCCAGGTCAGTGGAGTTCAGTCTGCCATCGAGGTTCTTGATTGATATGCAGCCTCCGCTTTCCCCTGTGGCCTCAGAGACAGAGTGACCATTTGGGACAGTCCTGGCGTATGCCTGTTGCCCAGCTTAATTGTTTCTAGCACCTTCTCACCCTCAGAAGTGGACAGGTTTGGGTAATCAGTTATGTAGCTATTTATTTGTACCACTGCAGCCTGGGAACTGGAATGGGCCCTCTCAGAACTTCAACACTAGAGCAACCCGTCCCGCCCCAGGGCTCACCTCCTGTCTCTTCTGCTTCTCTCTAAGGGCCAAAGAGATAAAGGAAATGACAGGCAACAAAGCTCAAATTCCCACTCTGGGACTTGGCTCCTGGGCTCTTGTAGCTCCGCCTGCCTCCATCTTTAAGAGAACTCAGGCCTGGCTGGGTGGCTCAGGTGGTTGGAGCGTTGTCCCATACTCCAAAAGGCGGGCAGTTAGATTCCCAGTCAGGGCACATAATCAGGTTGGGGGGTTCAACCTCTGTTGGGACGCATGTGGGAGGCAGCCAGTCGATGATTCTCTCTCACCATTGATGTTTCTCAACCTCTGTTGGGACGCATGTGGGAGGCAGCCAGTCTGATTCTCTCTCACCATTGATGTTTCTCTTTTCTCTTCCTCTCCCTTCTTCTTTGAAATCAATAAAAATATATTTTAAAAAGGTCACTTCCACCTTATTCTGTTAGAAGCAATTCCCTAAGTCTAGCCCCCACACAGCGGGAGGGGGACTAAGCTTTAGCTCCTTGAGAAAAGAGTGTCAAATTATTTGTGGACGTATTGTAAAACCACCTTTACTGTTCAACGTCCATTTCTGCTTTTTAAAAACACCATTCGGAAATAAGAATAGGTAGATCTTCTACCCAAATCCTCAAATATCTTGCATCCGCTTGAAATATCTTGAAATAAAGGCTCTATGTGTTTTTTCTTTCAAAATCACTCCTGCCCCTGGTGCTTGGAGTTCATCCTGTCTTCCAGTGGGCCTTGCTCTGCAGCTGCCCTTTCTCCGAAGTCATCCCCTTACGAACGTACTCTGGTGTCTCTCATCTTCAAAACAAAACTCTACCCTGACCCATTTCTCCACTTCATAGCCAAAATCCTTGAATCAACTGTACTGTTTCACTTGTCACCTCCCATTTACTCTACACAGTATCATTTGGCTTCCTCCCTACACTATTTTTCAAAGGCCACTAACAGCCTTCCTATTGCCAAATCCAATGGATACTTTTGTCCGTCCTTGTGCAACCCCCAAGCAGCATTCATTGCACTCAACCACTCCATTCTTTTGAAACACTTGGACCCCTGGACATGGCTGTCCCCAGGCTCTCCCCCACCCCACCTCACTTCCTGTCCCCTCATGCTCGTTGCCTGCGTCTCCAAATGGATGCAGCAGTACTATTCAGCCCTTCCTGCCTTGTGCTTTCCTGGAGTCCCATTGGTTCCTGTATGCATGGGTTGATGTATTCCCCATTTATACCTCCAGTTCAAACCTTTGCTATAAATTCAACTTACTTGATGGAATATGGATTTCTACTTAGAACATTTTTTGGGTATTTTTCTAGGAGAATGAGGTATTAAGAGCTACGGGTCACAGTTCCCAGCAGGAGGAAAATGAGCAAAGTGTGTCAGCCCAAAAGGACAAATCACTACAGCAGCAGGGTGAAGATGAAACTAAAACAGCAGATACACCTGAGTGGGAGGCAGAAAAGACCACTGACACTAGGAATGAGGTAAGCATGTCAGAATACCCCAGCCTGGCCATTCTGGCCAAAAGGTAGATTTTCTAAGGCTTTGTCAGTATGTGTTGAGAATGAATTTTGTATATACGTATGACCTACTCTAAGCAAATCTGATATATGGAAAACACTCAGCTTTTGTTTTTTATTGTCGGAGTGGTTATTTGGTTTACAAAGGAATCAACCCATAGAATTAGTTAACTCTGTTTAAACTCAAGATAGTGTGTGTGTGCTCAGGTGTACCCCCAACCCCTCCAGGAACCTGCTAGCAGGTGTTATTAGTTGCATTTGCCATGGCAAGGGATAAAGAGATGGCTGATGTCCTGCATCCAGAAATCCTCACCCAGCCCCTTTCGGGCAAAGCACCCTCCCTACCAGCTGGGGCTTGGGCTCAAATCCTCACCAGTGTCCTGCTGAGCCATGCTCCACGGGCATCCATCCCGGAGCCCATGTTGTACCTCTCCACCTAGAGTTAAGGCCAGGCCCAGTGGGGACAGCCTCCTTTGCTCGTGTCTAACCACACTCTTGGCCATGAGAAGAGGAATAGGAGGGTGAACACCAGGAGCCAGGCTGATGGAGTGGATTCTTCCTGCAACCTGTGCTGCCCCTTCTTCCACGTGGGCCATACTCTGGTTTCTTCTCAGCCCTGCTGGGGTCCTAGCCCACAAGCCTGGCAAACAAGTGCTCCAAAGATGGGCATGGAGGCTCCAGACTTTAAACCACTTGGCACTCACCTAGAAGGTGTCCCAATGGCTTCTCAGCTATGACTGCCCCAGGTGGAGTTTGGGGCTGTGCTTTGACCCGCCTTGGAGGATGGGAGGTACCAGGCCTTGGCCCTTTTCAGAGAGTCCATCACTATCTCCTTGACCATGTGACATTACATCAAACATTACATGATTGATGGAGTGAAATCAGAAAACAGCTTTGCTCTTTGCCCACCCACTGTGCTTACCCCTCCAGCCTGTCCTATCCTATTCTAGGAGAGTGAATTCTTCCCTATACCTGGAGTGAAATTGGGGCAGTCCCCATGACTTACAGATAATAAAAATCTCTCTGATCATCCCACTGCAGCAAATGGTCAATAATATAATCCAGTGTAATTCTAAAAACTCTGAACAGAAATCCGGCTTCTCCGCTCCTGACTCATCCGCTGCAGCCTGAGCCTGTCCGAGGAGGAAAGTGTGTGTGTGGGTGTGTACACCTGCGTGTGGCCTATTTGTCCGTTTCCCCAGTCCTCCCTCCCTTGCTCACTAAGCTGCCTTCTCTGGGGTGTGGTGGGATAATAAGGGCTCAGGAAAGGGGTTTGACTGGCACTATTTGATACTGGTTTCTCTTGACCACAGGGTGTGTTTAAACTGTTTTTTGTTGGGTGGGCACTTTCATTCCATAGGTTCTTTGGAGACCCCCCCACAACTGGGAGTCCTTCTCTTGCCCATCTCTTGACAAGGACAAACGAATCTCCACCTCCAGGTGACCCTCTCCAGCAGCTGGTCTTGGAAACATGCCCCTCAGCCCCTGTCAGTCCAATCCCTCCCCTAAGCTCAGCCCTTGCTCAGCCTCTTGCCCTTTGTTTCTCAGGCAAGCTCTGGACACTCATCTACTGTTTTCCAAACTGCAGGAAATACACTCGCCACATTTCTAAGTGGTCTCCTAGGGTCCCTTTTTGTCCCTCTTAAGGAGAGAGGGGTGAGGAGCTCACTCCAAGGAACCCTCCCAATTAAGTGAAGACCCCATTCAGGCTTGCATTTCACTTTGAAGTGCAGAGGTAATTGCTCCTGCCTGTGCTTTCACCCACGTCTTCTCCCAGGCCTGTATTTCCTCATAATTTATGTACCCTTGGTGTGGCACTGCCCTACCCTAGCACCCCACCCCCCCCCCCCCCCCCCCCCCCCCACACACACACACACACAGCAGTTATTGTCACATCAACGCCAATGAACTTTTATATTAACAAAATGCTGAAAGGCGTTTTTTCAAAAGGAGACATTTCAGCCTACTTCCCACTTTACTCCTGAGTGTCCCAAAGTCTTTTTTTTTTTAGGGAGAAGATGTTTTTATCGCAGTCTTATCAGTTCATTGTTTTATAGATTTGTGCTGTTGCTTCATTTTTCTCCTGGGTGTGCCTTTGTCTTTGCTCCCTCACTGAGCTTCCCAGAAGAGCGGGAACTGTTTTTTACTTCTGTGAATTACCTGAAGTGACTCACTGCTAGATACAGAGTGGCATTCTTCACATGCTAATGAAGGGATCCAAGTAGGGAGCTTCCTTAGGGAATACAATTTAAATTAGGGAAAATATCAATTCGGACAGAACTTTCCAGAAACACATTAATTACTCAAAGCAAGGCATTTGTGCCTCAGTCCTTAAGTTCAGGTTTGGCTCTTCACTGTGCACCTCCATGTGCCTGGTGGATATGTCTTGTTTAGTTAGCATCAGTTTACAAAATTCTTTTACTGAGATGTTACTTAGTAGGTACTCTGACAGTTTGTTGAAATAGTATTTATTTCCCTTCAGGTGACAATCCTGGGTGATAACTAGGACAAATGACATGACTTGCTACTTAACCGTGACCTCTTTCTAGCCCCACTGTAGGCCGACTTAGACTGCTGGCTATTAATGAAGAATAAATACACTAAATGTAGGTTAACTGATCTGAAAAGATTTTCTTCTCACTAAAGACAATTTGAAGTTTACAGTAATGTTTCATATTTTAAAAGATATGTCATAAAGTTAAGTGTGTCCACCATATTCTTTAAATACTCCTAGAGTGATCTCTGTTCAAAATGCAATGTATTTTTGACCCAAAACAGAACTGTATGTTTGTATTTTATGTTAAGATTTCTAAGAGTCAGTCTTAAGAAAGAAGACTGACCACTCCCTGGCAATCTAAATCAAATTTAATGTAATATGTCTTTTGGATTAATTGTAAGAATAGCTGAGTGTCCATTTTTGTGCAAGATCTGTACTCACCTGAACAGAAAAAACTCAGCAATTAGATTTAGAAATGGATTAACCAAGTTCTATGAAAACAAATGTTTCTAACAGAATGATGTCCACAGTTGAGGCTCTCAGAAACAAGGCACATGCCCATGAGATTCTGAAGTGAATGAGGGGATTGTGTTTTTTTTAAAACAGGTGAGGGCAGGTTTAAGGGAAACACTGAGGTAATAGGGAGTCCCGCTCCCAGGGACTTGCAACAACATGAAGCCATTACTACCATTACCACCATCAGGACAAAAGGGGACCTGGGAGGCATAGAGCTCAGTGAGAGCTGGAATTGATCAGCGGAAGCTATTGTCTCTAAGGTACTCTGTTGCTCCTCCCATCTCTTGCCTCTGTCTCCTGTGGACCCAACCAGAGGGCTGGATCAGTAGGGGTTAAACCAGCCGTGGGCAAACTACGGAAAACTAAAAAAAAAAAGACCGTACCCTTTTATGTAATGATGTTTACTTTGAATTTATATTAGTTCACACAAACACTCTATCCATGCTTTTGTTCCGGCCCTCCAGTCCAGTTTAAGAACCCATTGTGGCCCTGAGTCAAAAAGTTTGCCCACCCCTGGGTTAACCCCTTGGCCCACTGTGTCCAGGGGCATTGAAGAAGAGGGAACAGGAAAAAGATTTAATGAAACACATTTTTGACTAGCCTGAAGGGCTCAGTCAGTCCATAATTTATTTTAAGCAGAATGATCCTCATACCCTTACTTCTATATTCTAAATATTAAGGCTTTCTTTACTGCAAATAATGTTACTTACCCACCACTAAGGATTGTTTTTGCAGGAATCCAGATGTATGCTGATGTTATCTATTCTCAGACACTTGAGACCATTAGCAAATTTTGGTAAACATTTGGCCAGGACTAAGCAAGTTTGGGGTCCTCAACAGAAGTAATAGAATACTTCTAAAATTTCTCGAAATTAGGAATCATTTCAAATAACAATTCAATTGGTGAAGTAGTCCACTACCCAATAAGAATGTATAATTGCCAGTTAAAGAAGAGCAAGAAATCTTACCCACCAATTTAGCTTAAACATTCCTACAGCATCCATAGAAAGCCTTTGCATTTATTCCTTGTATTACAATGAAATAGCTTGAAAACATGGCTTCATAGAACCAAGATGTTTGGTGGGAAAGGAAACCAAGTATTTGTACACACATACACCGCAGACCAACTGGTATGAATCTTCAAAACTGAAAACCCTAAAGTAAAAAGTTAGGGGTAGAAGTGATGCACAGCACAAGTCAGGAATGTGGCTTACAAACCTGTAATGATAATCGCCATGGCACACCAAAAGCGGTAATCCTGGATAAAATATAACGGGCAACATTTTTAGTGCACAGTGGAACTCAAAAGCAAGAAAGCGAAAGTCCACAGATACAAGAAACAAAGAAGGGACTCAAACCTACAATTTAAAATAATTGGGCACCAAACGGAGGAACCTCAAGGAGGAATTGGATCCAGATGTCATAAGTGGGGTTAAATGAATGGAAAGTATCTTAAGCCTGTGCCTGGGGCACCTGGGTTCCCTGCTTATGAGCTCTTTGGTTCAGGAAATAGGGACTAGGACAGTGGTCGGCAAACTGCGGCCCCTTGATTGTGGTTCTTCCACAAAATACCACGTGCGGGCGCGCACGTACAGTGCGATTGAAACTTCGTGGCCACACTCAAGGGGCCAAAGAGCCGCATGTGGCTCACGAGCCGCAGTTTGCCGACCACTGGACTAGGAGACAAAGCAAGGAAACTGTCTACCCCTTAGAAAACAGAACCCCAAATGGGCTCCAAAGCCAGCTATAGAGTCTGATCCACACCATTACCATCAGGAACCCTGAGCAAAGAAAGCAAAGTTGAGAAAATGATGCAAAGACTGGTCCTTGCAGAGAAAAACAAAACTGCTTGATAAGTTGGTAGCCCTTGAAATGTGTGATTCCTACAGAAATAGCTCTCAACAAAGCTGAGCTCTCTGGTAGTCCCAGGAGAGATTAGAAAGCATGAAAGAGAAGCAGTTTTGAAGATTCCAGCAAAATATTTCCAAAATTAAAATGATCCTGACTCAGATTAATGGAATATAGTCCCAAGCAGACTAAATACAAAATTCCAAACATATCAAAGTGAAATGGTAGGACAAGAAAGAATTAAGAAAAAAAATCATTAAAGTTAGCTGAGGAAAAAAAATTGGCTATAAAATGACTGCAAGCAAATCAATAATAATAAATGCCATGGGACAAAAGTACTGAGGGAAAACCTTAAGCCGGATCATCTCACCAAATAGACTATTATTTAAAGATGAAGGCAAAATAACTCAAGGTTATAAAAACTAGCATTTACTACTTGAGGCTCCAAAAAGCTATCGAAGGAGCTATTTCAGCAAGGAAGGAACTTTGAAGGCAGGAGATGACACAATGGTGAGTTGGTCATTTTGGTACATCTAAATACATACTTGACTGTAAAGTCACAAAATTCTGTAGCAGATTTGGAGAGTCAGCTGTGGAGGGGCAAAGTAAGTTGGAACAATTCTAGCCAAAAATTATATGAAGATGGTTAGGGCAGGAATAGGGGAGGAGTTATGAGTTGAAGGTTCTTATTTAAGGGTATGAGAATATTGATACCTAAAGGAGGGGTATAAAAACCCCAAGATCAGGCTAAAAATACAGAGATAAGATCTAGTTGTCCTTTCCAGATAAAACCTAGAGCCCCAGGCAACCACTTCAGTCTTTTAATGACTGATGCATCTTTTGTGTTTTTCTAGAGATATCTAAATGGGACTGACACATCTCTCTCTCTGGAAGACTTACTTCAGTTGCTTTCATCACAGCCTGAAAATTCAGTGGAGGTAACTGGAAGATTGGCTTTTATCCTTGCAGGAATATCTCTGCACTGACCTCTCAATAAATAGAACCTTTATACCTGGATGATATAGTTTAAACTAATGCATTATTACTATTTGAGCACACAGACTTAGGATTACTTTTTATTTAATATATTTTATTGATTTTTTACAGAGAATTGAACCTGGGACCCTTGAGTCCGCAGACTGACGCTCTATCCACTGAACCAAACCGGCCAGGGCAGGATTACTTTTTATATAAACACTTCAACTTTGGAGAATTAGCCAAATATGTAAATACTATTCCTCCAAGTAATCACAAAGGTCTAATCAAATTAGCATAATTCATATTGAATCAAATTTATATAATTCACATAAAATCAAAATGGCTGTAAACATTTGACAAACTAAGCCATGGCTTTATTTTCCTGGTAGCATTTGTGTCATCACTTTATTGGTCTGATCTTTTTTAAAAGACACACACACACCCAACCAACACTACTTCACTATTGCTATTATCCATGATCCTCCAGTCCAGTGTGGATTTAGATTGCCAACAGATAGGATGAGAGTGGCATCTTATACAGTAGTAAAATATACAGTAAGAGTATAATATTAGAATGTTATAACTAACCTAATTATAAATTGCCGTATTAGAACCAACCTTTCCCCAAATATAGCATATCTTGACTTGGGTTCACACAATGTATTGAGTTGCCCATATTATTTAACTGGGTGAAGTTGTTATAGCCAACAGCATATCCCTACTTACAGAGGAGCAGACAAAACTGAGGAAAGAAAATGGTGTATTGGGTACTAGAACTATTGAAATTGAACTATGTGTATTAAAGTGCTCTTTTCCCTTTTTCAGGGCATCTCCCTGGGAGATATTCCTCTTCTCCCAGGAAGTATCAATGATGGCATGAATTCTTCAGCATACTACAATGTGAATTTTAGCCAGGCTATAAGTCATGATGTCAATCTCCATGAGGCCATGTTGCTATATCCAGACAATACATTTAGAAGAGACGCAGTAGGAAGGACTTCACAGCCACAGGAACCATTTCTGCAGTTAAATTCTCACACCACCAATCCTGCACAGACCCTTCCTGGAACTAATTTGACAGGATTTCTTCCACCTGTTGACCATCAGATAAGGAATCTAACAAGCCACGACCTTCTATATGACCTTGATATAAATATATTTGATGAGATAAATTCAATGTCTTTGGCGACGGAAGGTTTTGATTCCATGGAGGTTTCTCACCTTTTTGGAGAACCCGATTCTGATTCTGGGCTTTCCTTAAATTCAAGCCATAATAGCACCTCTGTCACCAATCCTAATTCCCGTGTGTGTGACAGTGCTAGAGGTTCTAGTAGTGACCTTGAATCTCTTTCCCACCATGCTTTAGAAGGGGCTGTAGGTGGCTACTACCCAGAGCCCAGTAAGATTCGTCACATTGATCTTAGTAGTGATTCTACTTTCCACGGGGACCTTGCATTTCAACATATATTCCATAACCACACTTACCACTTACAGTCAAGTGTACCAGAATCCACTTCTGAGTCTTTTTCATGGCCTGGGAAGTCACAGAAAATAAAAAGTAGGTACCTGAATGACACAGACAGAAACTTAAGCCGTGATGAACGCCGTGCTAAAGCTCTGCACATCCCTTTTTCTGTAGATGAAATTGTCCACATGCCTGTTGATTCTTTCAATAGTATGCTAAGCAGGTACTACCTGACAGATTTACAAGTGTCACTCATCCGTGATATTAGACGAAGAGGGAAAAATAAAGTTGCCGCTCAGAACTGTCGAAAGCGCAAACTGGACATAATTTTGAATCTAGAAGATGATGTATGTAACTTGCAAGCGAAGAAGGAAACCCTCAAGAGCGAGCGAGCCCAGTGTAACAAAGCCATTAATATCATGAAACAGAAACTGCACGACCTTTATCATGATATTCTTAGCAGGTTAAGAGATGATGAAGGTCGGCCCGTCAATCCAAACCAATATGCTCTTCAATGCAGCCATGACGGAAGTGTTTTGATTGTACCCAAGGAACTGGTGACCTCAGGCTACAAAAAGGAAACTCAAAAGGGAAAGAGAAAAAGTGAGAGAAATTGAAAATAGACTGATTCCATTAATATGTATAAAGTAGTAATAATGCTATATGGATCACAAACCACTGAAACTGCTTCAAGGTTTGCTCAAGCATCTTTTTAAGCACTGTTACTTGAATCACTTAAGGCTACATTTTGAAGCTTATATGGACAAGTTTAGGACTTCAAGAGCAGACGTGGGAAATCTGGGGAAAGCCTCTTCTCCCCATGAAGTCCTCCTATGTTATATGCACAATTCATAAATATGTACAGAGAAAGGTGACAAAAACTTGATAGGACTATCTACTCACTTTGGTAGCCATTTTCTAGTAAGATGGTCACTTTAAACGTAACACTGGGTGTAATTATTTTAAAATGTATTTTAGTTTTTAACTTGAAGTGCAAAGTAGCCTTAACATTCTCATTTAGTTAGCACTGAAGTATAGTGAACTTTTCAAAAGCTATTTTATTAATACTTAAATTATAACTTTTTCTCTGTGGAAATGAATTTTATACTTGAATTTATTTAAAAAGTTAACTTTTCCCTTATATACAGAAATTCTAAGCAAATTTACCTTGGCTATTATTTCCTCCAAAATACCCATTCAGGAATACAGGTAAATATCTAGCAAAATAGGGCAGCATATTAAGACTCAATCCAAGTTGAACTCAACATAGTCTGTTAAACTAGTAAGGGAAATCCCCACTTGGACTTAACAATACTATGTGAAATAAAGACTATAAATGGCCAAATTATAAACCATGGTGTCAAAAAAAATGCATTAGGCCTTAATGGCTGAGAACAAAGACCTCTACAGTCACAGGTTTGAGAGATAGAGCACGGCTACCAGTGTATAGCTCGTCACTGCCAGGCAAGTAAGGCAGCCTGTAGGCATGACCTCACATCCGTAACATTGATGTCTCACCACAAAACTCACATAGATTCATGTGAAAACATTAGAGGCCATACATGAACACAAACCAAACAGGGGAAGAGTCGATGAGCATAGACTACAACCAAAGAACTGGAAATACTGAAACCACATGAAACAGGACAGTAAAATAAACAAGTGGATGGACTTGAACGTAAAAGCCACTAATCCTAGAAATAATGGAATTGAAATGCAAGTTAACATGAACACTTAATGTTTGATTTCAAAATAAGGTTGTCAGATATGAGATTTGCCTAACAATGTAAAAATCAAAAGTCAAAGTATTATCTTGGTTTGCAAAAATGCAGTTTTATAAGAGTGGATTTTTTATAATAAACTTTTCTCCACTTTTAATTGGGCCTAACCATTTCTTTCAAACCCTAGATTTTGCCACAATAATGCTCCTAGATACATCACTCTTCAGTTTTGTACAATCACATTAAATGTTGATAGGCTGGCTCTGCAAAGGAGTACTCTCTAGATGTCTGTTCTTTAAACCACAGCTTTAGGGCACTTTATGACAAATGATTTAAAGTCTACAAATGTAAGATTCTACAGTACTGATTTACGTGAAGACTTCAAAACTGTTAATCCTATTACTCAAATTTTGTCTGTCAGGCTCCCCAAATCCCTGGAACTACCAAGACCACAATAAAATATAGGTGAACATCAAATTGGCAAAAAAAAAGGGGGGGGGTCATGTAGTGGAGCAAGCTTTTTAACAACAAAACTATCACTCTGGAAGTTACTTTGGTCCATTATAACCTAAGGTCAACAAGTCACACCTCGAATTTCCCATTACCCCACACAAAATCAGATTCAGGATAAATTGAAGCTGCTTACTCAATTATCCTTGACAATCCAGTGTTAGCAATGGAAATCTCCAAGATTTTAGTTTGAATTCTCTATTTAGATTAAGGAACATAACACATAGGTTGACTTAACTGCTTTACTGGTTCAGTAGTCTCAACATACATGTTATTCTGAAATTGAGGATAGTTATCAGAAAAAGGAATCCAATCTATACAGCTTCAGACATCAGGAACTGATCATTTTCAAAAGGCCAACTTCTAATTGAAGTTGTGTGCATTTTACAGGGTGAAACTACTGACCCATTCCTTCTTTAATAGCTAAACCAGACCAGTTAATCTTAACATGAGTAGGCAATTAAGACTTTGAACTGAGAAACAATTCCATCAAAACAAGGTTTGTAGAAAATGTGTTCCCAATTATTTGGTATGAGGTTTAAAAACAAACCTTAAGTGGCCCATGAGATCTAGACCCTTAAGATGAGCAGCTTTGTTTGCAGTTAGCCCTTGGCTTCCTTAAAGCATTTTCTATGGCATTTTCCTTGAAGCATCTTTCTCTTCTCAATTTAGTTGACTGACCCAAACCAAAATTCCATTTTAAATTCTAACAAAGCTATTACCTCCTTCAAATATAGTATTCCTGAAATTATCATAAAACCCCCATTTGTTTATAAGTGAAATCCAGCAGAGCATCCCAGGCTTGGCATCTCATTTCCTTCCTGCACCCATCAAAAGGTCCTGCTAAACATCCTCAACAAGCAAGATGAAATTTTGGGGCAAGTATATAAAATCAACATGTTGAGCTCAAACAAGACCCTCTAGCTGTTAGTGTTATCTCTGGAAAGATGCGTAACCCACTTTTTAACTGTTACTAAAGAACTTTTTTAAAGCCTCCCTAAATTACTGAACTTAAACATTTAGTACAAGCACTAATTGTTAGAGTAATTTTTAGAGGGCAACTTGACTTGCATTCCAAAACCAAACTGGGTTATTGAAAATCTCACATGAAGATCCAGTTCTAAGATCCGTGTGGGAGCCAGCTTTCTAATCATGCTTGCTCCTCGGTAATCATGAGTAAACTATCTATGCAACCATCAGAATACACAATAGTGTGACTTAGTAGCATCGGCCCTATTTTGAGATTTTTTATTCTTGGGATTGCTGAGAGAAAATAGCCAAAACCAGCTTGCCAGCCCTGTCATGCCATTTGGATGAAACTTCCCAGTTGTCACCACTGCAATTTTGACCTTCAACCAGGATCAGGTAAATTGCTTTCAAATTGTTAACTTGTAAATACCGAGATCACTAGTTTATTGGTCTTTATGCAGCATTGTTTCTTATGCCTATTTTTGTCCTATCAGCAATACTTTTGGTATGCCAGACAAAAGAAAAAGGTTTAAAGTACTGCCCCAAAGTTCCCTTCCTTTAGAAGGGAAATTGTTTCAATAGCCACTTCATTTAGTTTATTAGGTGTTAACACTTTAAAATCCTCACCAGAGGGTATTTTTCCCATTGATATTTAGAGTGGGAGGGAAGAGAAAAATGACTCATTGCCTCCTGTAGTGCGCCCCTGGTTGGGGGCCGGGATCAAGCCTGTAACCCAGATACATGCCCTTGACCAGAATTGAACCTGTAAACCCTTTCGTCTGTGGGCTGATGCTCTACCCACTGAGCCAAAACAGTGCATATCTGTTGCTTAAGGGTTGGGTGTTTTAAGGTTTCTGACTTCATTTACACCTCAAAGTCCAACTTAGTTGTCAAGCTAGACACTTCTGAAACCTTCAAAGTTATTTTCCTAATGTGAAGCAGAGTATTCAACAGTTTACTTGAATATTTATTTGAAACAAAAACAGCTTTTGTTAGCCATCCTTAGTTTGACTTACCTGATACTTCATATTATCAAAACCAAAGAAAATGAGACATCCTTGGTATCTCATGTTTTTATGCTTTTTGTTATTTTAGGTAAATATTGAAGAAAGTCACTCACTAAATTTTATCCATCATGCTTAAACCCTTTAAAGACAGCTACCCAATACTCGGTGTAAAATGCAATACCACTTTAAGAAACTAGAATGACAAATTTTAATTTGGACCACTCTGTTTAAAAGCCTGTAATACATTTTTAAAACGGCACCAGGGACGTTGAACGCACATGGTAAAGCCAGAAAACTATAGCAGCATTCCAACGCTGAATATAGTGTATAAAAGAATGGAATTTTTATTAGGGACAGCCAATAACGTCCACAATGGTTTTCTCATGTCTATTAAAAGAAAAAAATGGCAATATGTACAGTTTTGTGAAACTGCTTTAAAAACCTAAGGGATGGCAATTCTTTAGACAACTGAATGTTTATAGAACAAGATTCACACATTTTATGTGTAAACATTACACCAAGTTATTTGGATACAAAAGTATTTATTTTATAAAACTTTATATTTAAAATAGAACTTTAATCTGTCTACTCACAAAACCTAATTTAAAACATGATACATTTATCTCTCTGGCTGATTTGATGTTATTTTTACAAACAATACTCAACTTGTAATTGTTTTATATTAAGAGCCTATACTAAATGAAGTTTGTATTTTATCAGAAAACATTTGCCTTTAATCTTAAAAGAGTGCTTTTTTAAATGAAGGCACCAACAACTACTTTCAGATGGTACAGAATTTCTTATTTCTCGAAGACTCTGTGGTTGACCACTTCTTCATTAGTTACCTGCAGCAAGACACCTTCCTGCCAAAGGAAAAAAAAAGTATCTGAAGAAGTTTATCATGTTTGTCCAAAGAACCTAAATAACTTCTGTGGTGGTCTTAGGATCAAAGAAGACTCACTGGTGCATACAGCAGAATATGCCCTGATTATCACTTTCCTGAAAAGGCAATAAAGCCAGGCAATCAAACTCTGATGACATTTAAGAAATGAATTTCAGCAGCGAACCTATATCTTTCCTATAAGATAGGGAATTGGGAAAGAATCACCACATTCATACCCCAGTATTTAGTATTAAATGCATACAGGATTCATAATGTAGACAGACACTGTAAATATAAACTATTATCTGATTCAACCATTTAGCCCTACCTATCTCCTTAGCCTAGTCCTGATAAGCATGTAAAACTAGAACCCTATTGAGTAAAGCAAAATGTTTTAATAAAAACCCCAGTTCACTCAAAATGCTTGATCCAAGAAATGTGAATACACATGGATGTTAACGATGGGAAATTTCATGGTTTATTGAGCTTGCAGCCTAACTTTTACCTACCATTTTACTACCAACACCACTGAAGGAACCAAGAAAAGCTTTATTAATCACTTGGCTTGCCTCAGCTGTTGAAATGAAGCACTTTACAGTCTTTGTGGCAGCAGAATATACTTGTCCATGGTTCATATCAATGCTAAAATTCCAGCAGGGAAAAAAATGATATGTTAAGCACCTGAATCTTCATAGAGGGAGAGGGGGATGGGAAAGAAAGAAAAGGGGGGGGGGG